CTATGTAGTTGGATACGACAGACATTACATTTTCTAATTGCATAGCTTTTGCACATAGATTTTCTTGATGGATGATGCGATGAGATATAAATAATTTAGAAAAATTCTGTTCTCCCATTTTTTGTTTGAATAAGGAAATGACTCCCTTATTTTTTCCTGTCATTGCTGCCACAACACTTCAGAAAATAATATTCAATTTAAACTAGACGAATTACATCGAAAAATATTTATTTATAATTTCTTCTAAACATCTCGCGGGCCGGGGGTTGCCCACCATTGGTCTAGATCAGTGATTACCAAACTGCTTTGAGCCACCGTCCCTTGGTTCCCTAAACGTATATCCAATGCTTCTTAACCTATTTTTGTGTGTGTGAGAAAGACTTTTAAATAATTCATAGAAAAGTTTTTCTAAGAATTCACATTTTTTGTCATTACTGTACATTGTTCTGCACATTTAGAAAGCATTAAACACAGTTTTCTTCTTACCAATTTTAACAGAGGAAAAGAAAAGGTTGTCAGTGACTCCAATCCTCACCTAAGGTTACCATTTAGTACCCCACTTCTTTTCGTCCCTCCTACATTTACTCATCGTCCACTTTGTAAACCACTGGTCTAGACCCTGAATGAGTATTAATCTCAATTTCTTTCATACCATGGCACATTTGCAATGTCAGCCATTTTACCTGATCCCAGAAGTAAAAATAGTGCATTTATATTTATCATAGGCTCAATTTTGGGACCTCTGAACTTGCTGCCTCTAACTGGTTCTGGTATTGTTTATTGAAATTCTGTGATAACTTGAGCTAATTTACAATAAATGTAATTTATACCATAAAGAATTTCTTACTTTTCAAATAGTATCTGTGATAAAATTTATTAAAATCTTTCAACTTATCCAACAAATAAGTTTAAGTAAATAAAAGTTTAACAGATTTAACATCAATAATTTACATATATATATAACATATGAATAAAATATAATATTACAACTTTCTAATAAAATAGTTTTATAACAGAAATTGTCCACCAAAAATGTTTAAAATTCAAATGTTTAACATAAAATAGATACATTAAAGAATATCTATACATATAACAAATTTTATATATTGAAGACAAAATTAATTTTGATAGTTTATATGTCAAGATCCTGATATTAAATATTTGTTTAGAAAATTATTGGTCCTTTCAGTATGTACATTTAAGAATTACACTCACATCTTTGGTAAAATAAGTGTAAACATAGTAGGATATTTACATTAATTGACCATTGATGTATTGATGTGGTTTTTTTGCTTCAAACGTTCTAACATCACCAGGCACAGTTCTTCCAAATTGTATTGGTGATGCCATCCCCAGTCTGCCCGGGCATTGCTGTCATCAAAGATCTGTGGCCAGCTGTCAGCTATAATTAATTTTTGTAGAAATGACATTGTTAATTAACAATTTATTTGTAGAGAAAATTAAAAGTAATAATAAATATAAAAGTTAATGGTACAAAAAAAAATATACAAATATACTCTTTAAATATTTAATTTTTTAAAACTATAACCGAGAACTTTTCATTAAAGTGTCCCTATGTTATGTCATATTAGGTCGCATGATCATATAAAGATTGCCAAGTGCATGGCAGTTGTTTTTTGTCTTTAAAATTTTCCAGTGACTTTTTTGTCAGATTTAAATATTTCTAATGCTTCTAGAATCTTGGTGGAGTCAGCAGTCTAGAATCTTGGTGTCTTGTCGAGGAAGGTGTGTGCTTCTCTATCCATTGCATATATTGCTAGGGCAGTGTTTTGTTTCTTTTTGTCAATATCATGTTTGTGTGTTCATCTAGTTTTATTTTAAGTGACCTTGTGGTGGAACCGATATTTTAAAGTTCGTAGCCAAATCTTTCAAATAAATTTTATATACCCCAATACCATAAGTTTATTAGTCTTAGCTTTTCCATTCCTAAGGATGTTAAAGATGGTAGAATTGCACCTGAAAGTTAATTTGGTCTCTTAGATTTGCTACTTCTTTATACAGTGGTAGCATATTGTGCTTATTTTTTAGAATGATATGGCTTGTGTTTGTATGTTGATTGTATTGGTTTTCATCTTTAGGGTCCAAGTTATGAGTGTTGTTGGAAATTGTACTAGCTAAATTCCTGATAAAGTTCTTGCAGTAACCATGTGCTGTGGCTATTCAAATCAGATAAGTAAACTAGCATACATACCCATATTTATACCAGCAAGCTCCCACAACCCTTACATACATATATATATATATATAAAGGGATCATTGGAGCTTGCTGATATAAATACAGTCGCTCAAAAATAAGACTAGCTGAACACAAACATGATATTGATAAAAATAAACAAAACACTGCCATAGCAATGTATGCAACTGATGAAGAATTGCATGCCTTCCTTGACAAGGCTACCATCATCAAGAGAGCAAAACACACAGACTCCATCCAGATGCTAGAAGAATTAGAAATATTTAAGTTTGACAAAAAGAGCCACTGCATGAATTTTAAAGTTGAAAAACAACTATCATACATCTATGGGGTTTCGACGATTAATTCCTCCCAAATGGAGAAGATTACACAAATTATTTCTACAAATACAGTAGACCCCCTATAACACCTGTAGATAATTCCGTGTTATATGAATTCCATGTTGAACGAGTCAATTAGATTTTACAAATACATGAGCCGTTCACAGCCCGGCACACGTATTTGTAAAATCTAAGTGACTCGTTCAACATGGAATTCATATAACACGGAATTATCTACAGGTGTTATAGGGGGTCTACTGTAAATACATTTTAATTTAATTTAATACAAAATTAATTTTAGTTTCTCCTTAGTCTACTGTATTATCTTATTCTAAACACACAGTGTAGAAATTAATAAATTATCTTAGAAAAATGAGTGGTTTCTTAAAATCCAATCCTTTTAACAGTTCTGCATACAGCTTTTCCTCCAGGGGTAATTATTTGATCAGTATTCCAGCACTGCAAAGTTTTTTCATTTCATTAGTTGTGTCTCCAAGAAAAATATTGTAAACCAGCATAGCATGCATCTTGCATTTAACACTGCTCCAGGTCAATTTTCCAGCTTGGTGGAAAATTGGTGGTTTGCATCACCAAATTTGTTTTGAATGAAACTAATTTTTTGACAAAATTTTTTGGAAAAAATGTGTGGAAATTAATGAATTAAATATGGTACTAAGTCCATACAATATTCTACAGCCAATTACAAATCTAAATTACCTACTTATTTTCAGGTTCTATTTTCAAAATTACTTCTAATTATTACTCTTAGTATGAAATAGTTACCTGTAAGTCAGATAGCCTTGTTTAATTAATTCAAATGCCATAATAATTTGGTAATCCAGATTTCTGATTAATATTTCCTTATTTTAATAATAAAATCATGATGGTAATGCGTTGTGTTCTTGCTATTTTTTATTGTTATTTTTAGTTTTATTTAAATAAAATTGAACATAATAAAAACCATGTATTAAATAGAACAAGTTCAATTCTCACAATGTACCTAGTTAAGTGTCACAGAACTATGCAGCTGGGCTAAGTTCTTAGAATAAAAACTAAATTTTATCATCAAAATAATTTAACAATATTTACCAATATCTTGCCTTGAATCTGGTTTGTAAGTGATGGTGAAGTTAGGAATGTGCTTTTTTATGACATCAGCAATTTCTTCTGGAGTGAAACTTATGGCGTTAATATTATATGTCCTCATTCGAAGTGAAGATTCTGGTGCTTGCATTATCTCCACCAATGAACGGATACAATCGTCAATATAAATCATTGGTAATCTAGTATCTGGTTTCAAATAGCATTGAAAACTTCCCATTTCTATTGCATCGTGGAATATTTGTACTGCATAATCTAATAATGAAGTAAAAATTAGAAAAAAGCTGTTAAATACAAATAAATATTTCAGAAAATATGTTGCTCTCTAATAAACAAATGAACTCATTATTATTATGTAAAGGATTAAATTTAATGTAATTTTAAATGATATAATAAAAAAAATCCACTGATAAATGCAAAATTTTTATTTAAAGTAGCTTAAAAAAGTACAGTGGAACCTTGGTATACGTCTGCTTTAGAATACGTCCAATTCGGAATACGTCCTGTTTGGACAAAACAAATTTTGCTCGGTATACGACTTTTGTTCGGTATACGACTTAATTCAATTATACACGCCATCTATGAACAAGTAGCACTATCAGTGTACTAGACCAGACTAGATGTTCATGGTGCCACGGTTTATAACTTTGTTAAATTTCTTCTGATTTTAATTTGTAAGTAACATTTTATTATTTTTATTCATCATGAATTGCAAAAGGGCAACAGAAAAATAAAAAAATGACTAGAATCACAACGGAACTGAAAAAAGAGATTGTTGAGAAATATGAAGGTGGCACGCTGTTCGAGATTTAACTGTTGCATTCCGTATTCCGAGAACGACGATATCGACAATCGTGAAAAATAAAGACATTATTAAATTTGCTAACATTGCGAAAGGGGTTAAATCAATTTCTAAACAGAGATCGAAGACATTAGATCATGTCGGGAAATTGCTTTTGCTTTGGATAACTGAAAAACAGTGTGCCGGCGACAGTGTATCGGAATAAATTATTTGTGAGAAAGTTAAAAGGATACATGCTAATCTCATGAAAAATCAAGCAGAAACTAGCGAGGAAAGCGAGGTGTTTAAAGCCAGCCATTTTTTTTACATGAGAACGGATTAATCATTTTTACATTACTTCTTATGGAAAAGGTTGGTTTGGTATACGTCCTATTCGGTGTAAGTCCAAACACCGGGAACGGATTAAGGTCGTATACCGAGGTTCTACTGTATTGTTAAACATATGCTTGTATTGATGAAGAAAGTAATTGCTCTATAGAACTGTATTTCCCAAACTGGAGTACACAAAATCTGTAATAATTTCCAAATGCAATTTTAAATTTAAATAAGTTTATACTAAGTAGTTCAAAACTTTCTACAGCCAAGTCCATAAAATCTGCTAACTTTGATCTCAACCTTCACAAATTTTATAAAAAAAATATTAGTCACTTTAACATCTATTGACTAATTTTTTGTACATATTATTAAAATAAATTTAGCACTTTAATTTTTAATTAATTATTCACAATGTAATAATTATTAAGCATCCATTTAAAACAATTTGACAAAATTCTTAAACACTTACATCCTTTAACTATTTTCAATTTATATAAAATTTTCTTTTTTCCATTAAAAGACTACACAGACTAGTACAAGATTGAAAATCATGCCTTAGAATATAATCATTTTCAATATTTAGTTTAAGTGGTATTTTATAGATAAAATGAATGTTGCAATTAAAATTTTCATTTTAACTTAAGAAAGTAATGTCAAGCTCAGTCAAATATAAACCTAAATTGCAATATTCTTTAACAGTATGGTTTCTTTAAAACAAATAATTGTGGATTCTTTAAACTTAGGCAGCTTGTTCCTTTCCTTTCAGTTCTTTTCTTCAAAATTCATTTATTTCATTTAACTAATATCTGGAACAGACTAACAAACTCTCTAACGATGAGGATATTTCTTACTAACCAAAAAGGTATGTAAGGATAGGAGGCTTTAAAAAAAAGTGTAGCGAGAATGCTTTTATCTTCCTGGTGTTTAACCAAAAATGTGTGAATCCTCTGCATCTAGAGACAGAGGAAAAGAATATGAAGATATGGGAGACAATGAATCTGATCCCATTAGCAACCTGGTCCTCAGATAAAGTGAATTCATTCCTTGAGGTATTACACACAGTCAATTCTTAGTGGTAAATTAAATATTTCTATACCAACATTCAAAAACAGGGCATACTCAAATTAAAATCACAAAAAAGTTCTAATATCCAGCAGATTAAAAGAAATGTGCTAACATTTTTGCCTGTGTTGAATGGACATCATACTTAGCACTTATTTCTTTTACTCTGCTGGATATTAGGTTTTTAGTGATTTTAATTAAATATTTCTTGTCAGAATAAAATTACAACCTTAATATATGATTACAAGACCAGACAAAGATATAACTTCTGAACATGTACTGGACAGGCATGCTGGTAAGAACTTAGGAAGTGTACCTATTGTTTATTGACATCAAGTATATCTGACTTTCATAGATTGCATTTACTATCTTTCCTTACATCCTTTTCCTTCTTTTAGGTTAAGTTAGTTATGTATTAAACTAAACTTAACCTAAGGTAATAATTGTCTTTTGTGTATTCATCTGAACAATAAATCATTATTACCATTAGAGATTTCACTATAAAGAATTGTATTGATCAAGTTTAGTGATTAAAAGTATAATTTTGTTGATCAAATTGATTATTGTCTCTAATAAATATAAAAACAACAACAGTAAATACAATATATAAATTAAAATTTGTTATCATGGTAATGGTATGAGAGTTATGCTATCAAGATATGTGTTTAATATCTTTATCTTGTAACATCAAGCATAATGAAAAATACATAATGAAATGTACACTAATTAATGTACTCTTGTACATAATGAAAAATACACTAACCTGTAGTTCCTCCACCTGGAGGAGTGTCTGCAGAAATCACACCTGGAAACCTCAGGCAGCGAAAATCCAGTCCAAATCGATAGTTATAATACTGAAATATGATATTAATTATATATATAAATTTTTATTGATATTTCATTTTTAAAAACAAAATGTATCTTACTTTGAATATTTTATCCAAAGTAATTCATTGCTTCTTAGCAACGAATTACTTTGTATTTATGAATTTGTCACTGTCTCCATAATTTATACAAAATTTTTCTAAATTGAGTGTCAAAACCTCAGCATTAGATTCCCAAGATAAAACAATCTAAAATGTAGACAACTGTGAATTCCACTTTGTTAATGAGAGACTGATTGTGTTGAAGTAAACAACAGTCAGTCAGTCATTTCAAATAATTTTCCATTAGCTTTTTTTTATCCACTGATAACTGTTTAATTAAGTGGATGATATTATTTATTGTTAAAAAGAAAATTTCAGTGGAAAAGCAGAACTGCCAGAATCAAGGTATAAAAGTTAAATGGCATAGAAATGTGTGCTTCGAGGAGATTTTAGCCTTCAAAATTTCCCTTTCAATTGTAATATTAAAAGAAATTTCACACACTAAATGGTCAATTTTACCACATTGACTAATTGATCAAATTACATTGTTATTTTGCAGCTATTATTGATTTATGGAAACAACATTTAAACACTTAACACCTGATATCTAATAAAGCAGTATTAACATTTTTGTTTCTCATCTGATTATATTTAATCCTAGAGTTTTGACTCTTAATTTACAAATATCTTATGTAAATACTGTATATAATCAGTTTTTGAATATAATCATAATTAGCAAATATATGCATATATTTAAAAAATAACACAATGTTATTCCCAAACTGAGTGTTAAATGAAGGAAGTTAATGACTCTCATATGACTGCTTTCAGCATTCAATTTTGAATTCTGAATACTAGAACCAATACTAAAAGTATGTTTCTGTTTACTATCTAGTTCTTATGAATTATTACAAATTACATATTAGAAGGCTAAATAAAAACAATTTTGTTTTTATCTTATTTTAATCTAACAAAACAAATTATAAAATTTCTGGTTACTTTCCGTATTAAAAGTGAAATTAAAAATATCATTTTTTTATCCGAATTGCATGTCTATAAAACAATAAATGGGTTAAACATTTTGCTGATTGGATTGTTAATATTTACTTTATTATTGGATTTTATCAAACTGTTAACAAATAAAATCTCTCAAATCTCAAATAATGGTTTCCAACTTGGGATTCAATCTAAACTGATATCCAAAAGTGTGATACTCTGATATTGCATTTTTTTGAGTGTGAAGTGTATATGACACACACAGCTGATGCCAGCAAATTATATAAATCATAGTAAATAATCAGTTATCAGGAATTTTCCAACGCTCCTAGAAGTGTTACAAAATTCCTGATAACCAATACTAGAAGTATGTTGCAATATTCTAGTATATTATAAAATCCAAGTTGGTAATAAACACTAGCAATTTAAATTACATTGTAAATAATTTATAAATCACAAGGATTTAAATTTAATTTTAAATAATGGTTAAAGTCATATATAAATTAACTACTATTTAATTCAGGAAAGTCACAAATCACACAAACACACACAGTTAATAATAATGAAAAATTAAAATATAACAATTTATGTTAGTACTTTTTAGTATAAAGTATTTGTTATTGTAATGTTCTGAATATGGTCACTCTTTGGCATTGTATTGAGAGAGTTCACTTAATTTACTACCTTAAAGCAATGTATCTACCATGTTGAGAATTCCATAAAATCATAAAACTGTTTGGATAACTGTCAGTTTTCTATAGGCATATTGTTCAAGCTTTTCAGTAAACTATGGAATTAATTTTTCCAAATTTACATCTCACTCATAAAACTACAATTATTATTTTATGCTATCTGAATCCAAATTCATTAATAATGCTAATTTTTGCATTTACTAAACTCGTTTGTCTGATAAGATTCAGATAGATATACTGAAACAAACATTCAGTAGTTCAACAGCAATGAAGCAATATTCAACTTTGCAAAAAAGATATGTAATACTGATTTGGCATATTGAGTGTAACTTCAACCTGTCAATAGATAATGTCAAGTTTGCAATGACAATATAAACTTGATGGGTCAAGCAGTCTTTTGGATAATCCAGGAATTTGTTTGCATTTTGGATAAATCAAGCATTACACCTTATACTTTCAAAAATAATAAATGCAATTATTGTAATTGAAGGTATATTAACTTACTAAAAATCTAATTTCATGGTGCTACAATTGATAGATGTAGTGATTTCCAGTTACATGGAAAGTATGTATAATATTGCATCTTTTTTCAAAACTTTTGGATAATCATGTTTCATTTGTCAGATAATCAAGTTTCCACTGTATGCTGATATAGTGGAACTTGTTAAACAATTAATTCATTGATAACTTTATTATTGTTTACTCTTTTCTTTGGGAAAGAGTAAATGATACTAAGAGAACCTTTTAATCAAGTCCATCATGAAAATCTGACATATCCAGGGCAGTCTATCTCCAAAATTTATGGATTTATTTATTTTCAATACAAATTACACTGTTAAGATTAATTTTAAAAAATCAGCTCAAGTTCCTTATATTTACCACTCTGGCTGTGTTAACAAAGGATGCATGCAATTTTATATATATATATAATTTNTCTATGGCTCTGGGTGACCCGGGATCGAATCCGGACGAGTCAAGGAATCCCCAGGAATTTTTCGGATATGCCGGGCCCGGTCGCTCCATTGTGGGCATGGCCGAATTCATAATGGGTCTGTTTTAAGAGGTCCTCCTAGCGCCCACAGGGCGGAAAAAACCAGATCTATTTACAAGGTGTATAAACTTTGCAAGTGCCTACAATCGGCGGCACACGCCCGTGATGGCGGAAGTGCGAAACAACCGTTATTAACGAAAGCACTCCACATCTTTATGATCCTTTCTCCTCGATTGTGGGCCTGATCAAATTTGTGATTTTTCTAAAGAGCGGAGAGTAAAAACCCTTATGGTTTCAACTAGATCGGAAATAAGGGTCTGAATAACGAGGATCCACTGAATAAACGAAAAACATCGACTCCATAACGGGCATGGAAAAGGAGTAAGAATGTGCAGGGAGGAACGAATTTAAAAAATAAAATAGTATGGTATAAAATGATTTTAAACATAAATTATAATTACTTCAAAAAATATAATTTAGTTAATTATATATATAATTAATTAAAATTAATTCAGAAAATATGTAACATATTGGAATATGGCAGAGAAATGATTCAAGTTCCTTACCTCTAAATCAAATGAACAAATTGAATAGCGTGATGACAATTTTACGTCATATCTGGTCAAGGAGAACATGCGGAAACTCCACGTGTTTGCCATCAACCAATCAAATAGCTCCATTTTGGAGGTGTGTCAAATGGTTCGATTACTAGCAAGAAAACATTTTTTTCTTTTTTCTTTTTCTTTTTAACAAGCTTAAAATTTTTGCTGATTTCATTATTTTACGTATTTAAAAAAATAATATATTTATATACTTAAATACTTATTTACATCATCATTACTGTTGTTATTTTAGTAAATACATAAAATGAAACAGCTAAAATGCATTTAAGTTGTTATTACATAATCAGAAAAATAACATTTGCTTATTAACATGTACTGTACATGATGACAGAAAACAAATAAACTATAATTCATAAGAACAAAACAAAGAATGCATGAAATAACCAGACTATAATTTTTTTATTTAAATGTTAAATTTACATCTGTAACAGTGTCATTATGTTACATGCTGCTTTATTTAAAATATCATTTAATATATACAAACTAATTAAACTGTGTAATATGTTATGCTTTAAAAAATAATAATAAAATTTCTCTAGAAATTTTAATCTTCAGAAAGTTTCATAAGTTCATAAACTAACAGAACTGTTTTATTAGTTTGCTCATATAAGACTATTTTATAATTTTAATCTTTTATTTGAGAATATGAAAGTACTTTTGGTAATCATAAAAATACAATACATATTCTACAAATAAAAATTTAAGTCAATGTTTGATGGAATAGTTTCAAGTTAATAGAAATATTTAGAAATTTTTCACTAATTTATGAAGAAATAAAATAAAGAAAAATTGTTTAATGCAAATTACTCTCACTTTGTATAGTTTAACAAAAACTAACCTTTATTATGTATGTATGTATGTATGTATGTATGAAAATCAATATTAAATTTAAATTTTCTATTAATGAAAATTGTTTAAATAACTACTTAAATTGCATATTTTCAACTAAAATGCTCTTTTATTAATTTAAACAAAATGCTTTAGTCATATCAGAAATTTTGAAAAATTAGCAAACAAATTGAAATTCNAAATAAAAGTAAATGTGTTAGAAATATTCAAGTTGTGACCTTCAATAAAAAATAAAAAATATATAAAATGTCAACATTTTATATATATTCCGTCGAATTTTTATATATAGAATTTGTCTGCCGTTGCCCCTCTATATTTCCTTAACGCCCCCCAGTTCTCTTTGAGCCTTCTACTGCCCTCCTGAAAGCCTCCAGCGCCCACAACGGGACGTTATCGCTCACTTTGAGAAACGCTGTTTTAAAGTAACAAAACGAATTGCTTTAGTATCAATGGTGTGTGTCAGCATCATAAGCACTCCCATCTGGATAATCTGGATATACCTCTCAAATTAATGTGTTATTCATAATTTGATCATAAGTGAATATAAATTTACAATCAAATAAAATATAAATTTTTATTTTTCCTACCTTAGTGATTTTGCTAATCCAGTCCCAAGTTGTCCAAGACTTCCTAAAAAAGTATTAAATATTTAATTTAATAATGTAATATAAAACATTAAACATAAAACACAGAATTCACAGAAGACATTAATTTCCATTTGGTTGTTTATTTCATTTTATTTGTAATTTATTCTTACCTTGTATCAAGAGAGAGAAAGATTGATGAATTTAATGTGATATTGGGAACGGGTTGACAAGTGACAAAAAAATTGGGAACTCATATTTGATACTATCTAGAAATCTTAATTAATTGCAATTACTTTGTAGTTCCGATGAAACAGAGAATGATTTATTTAGCTGCATTACACGCTATGGTATTTCATCTTGTAATGAAACTTAAAACATTCGAAATATTTACTAGAATGTTATTGAGAAATTGTTTATCTGGACTATTGTACCTAGACATATTTCAATTCTTTGTTGATAAATTTGTAATTAAATAAAGCAATAACCGATATATTTCAGAAAAAAAAACTATTAGTTTTACAAGTGAAATTAATTATTTGACCAGAACAAAAATAGTTATAAAGAAAGACTACATAATCTAGTTAAAGTTCCATTTGGGAGGGGGAAAAAACATCACAATATTCTGTACAAATTAATTTTTTATTTTTAATGGATTCACAAATCCAAAATATAGCAAGTGATAAAAATTCTCTTTTAAATTTAAAATCCAATTCATTGAGATTTGATTTAAACATTATAAATTTAGATTTTCCACAAAATTCCAGTAGATATTTAATCAACAGGATACTAATCAATACCATACTTTGAGTGAAAGAAATAAAATAAACATAAGAAAATAAATTTTATATCATCATTACTGTTGTTATTTTAGTAAATACATAAAATGAAACAGCTAAAATGCATTTAAGTTGTTATTACATAATCAGAAAAATAACATTTGCTTATTAACATGTACTGTACATGATGACAGAAAACAAATAAACTATAATTCATAAGAACAAAACAAAGAATGCATGAAATAACCAGACTATAATTTTTTTATTTAAATGTTAAATTTACATCTGTAACAGTGTCATTATGTTACATGTTGCTTTATTTAAAATATCATTTAATATATACAAACTAATTAAACTGTGTAATATGTTATGCTTTAAAAAATAATAATAAAATTTCTCTAGAAATTTTAATCTTCAGAAAGTTTCATAAGTTCATAAACTAACAGAACTGTTTTATTAGTTTGCTCATATAAGACTATTTTATAATTTTAATCTTTTATTTGAGAATATGAAAGTACTTTTGGTAATCATAAAAATACAATACATATTCTACAAATAAAAATTTAAGTCAATGTTTGATGGAATAGTTTCAAGTTAATAGAAATATTTAGAAATTTTTCACTAATTTATGAAGAAATAAAATAAAGAAAAATTGTTTAATGCAAATTACTCTCACTTTGTATAGTTTAACAAAAACTAACCTTTATTATGTATGTATGTATGTATGTATGTATGAAAATCAATATTAAATTTAAATTTTCTATTAATGAAAATTGTTTAAATAACTACTTAAATTGCATATTTTCAACTAAAATGCTCTTTTATTAATTTAAACAAAATGCTTTAGTCATATCAGAAATTTTGAAAAATTAGCAAACAAATTGAAATTCTGTAATGTATAAAAAAAAATAAAAATGGTTATAGATCAAATTATATAGATTAAATGTAGATTATGTATATCAAGACAAATATTTTACACTTTATTGAAATGTAGAATCCAAATATAATATTTTTGCTGTAAATTACTATATTTCTTCAATTAAACCCTGGATTGAAGTTCCAATCTTTGAATAAGTCCCAGGGAATAAAGTTATTGTTAAAAATAAATCCCAGGTTGAAAGCATGTTTCTCATGCTTTTCATCCTGGGATTTATAGCAAAAATATTATATGTATAATATAGTGTTGCACTGTATAGGATAATGTTTTTTTTTTTTTTACTCTTTCTGTCCTGTGAGCAATAAGAAGGCCTTTGTTCAAACCCATTGCTGATTTGGCCAGGCCCATAATGGGGCAGCTGAGTAATGAGGAATGTTGCCCAATATACAGGAACATTCTGGAAAATTCTTGGGAAATTTTTGTCCATCCAGGTGAAATGATGAGTTTGAACCAGAAGGTCATAGTCAACATCCTGATTCCAATAACATCAAAATAAACATGAATGAAATCATAACCAAATCAGAAGGTGCTGAATCAGGTTGACTATGAAAATAATAATTATTTTAACTCTTTTAGGACCAAGGATCAAATTTGGGAAAAAGAAATCCTATTAACTTTTTGGAAGATCCATCTCAGATCCATGTCAATACTCATCACCCATCTGATCAAATCCATAATGAGTACAATTAAAAGACCCTCTTGATGTTTACAGGTGAAAAAAAGTAAGCTGAAAAAAATACATATATATTAAAATTTAAATTACCTGTTATTAAAATTCTCGGATCTTCATCATTATTTCTGGGTACCTCATTGATTCCATTATAAGTTCGACATCCAAATGGATATTTTAAATATTTCTTAAAATGTAACAGTTTATTACTGTTGAAAGTAAAACCAAAAGACCCAGCCTTTTGAATTACACCAAACATGTTTATATTCAATCCTGGAAATTCTAAGAAAACAAACATATACTTATGTAAATATTGAACATCATACAACAATTTACGAAACAAAAATAAAAGTATTATCTAATTTGAAAATCAAATTATCGTAAATCTATGCATCATAGAAAAAAAAATTCCGGAAATCCTATAGATAAATAAAATCATTTCACTGGCTAAGCATTAGCTATTAAGAATTAAGTATTTAAGCTAGTTTTACATGAATTTTTAATACAAGGAAATAAAAATTGAACATGTAATTATTAAAGAATGTACATATGTATATTATATTTAAGTATAAAAATACAATTTCCATTTCTGTCAATGTATAATGTATTGCATTCCTTACCGGTTCTGACCTAATTGTCAAATATAGAACAATATTTCTTTTGTTCTATAAATTGTTGTTTTGCTGAAACAAATCTCAATCCTATTGTTCAGATTAAACTAACAAGTGTGCCAAAAACTATCATTTAAAAATAGTAATAAATATCAAATTTAGTTTTTGTATCATAAAAAAAAGACAGAAATATAATTATAAATTAATCTATTAAATATTTTAACAGTAATTTCTAATAGAATATGTATAAAATTATATATAAATATAATACATTTTATATTAAGTAGAATCCAAATATAATATTTTT